TGGTCTTGGCATTATAGGACCTGACATTTTGCCAGCAGCTGTGACTGGCATCCTCAGAGGTATGACACAGAAAGATGGAGGACTCTCTGTGTCAAGGTTTTTGTCAAAGAGGTTTTGGAACTCCGTTCCGGAGTGTTCCCCCAGAAAAAAAAGCACTGCTTCTCTTTTTTAGACTTCTGGTTGGTTCTACAACCCTAATCCTAGTGCACCGTTTATTGAATGTCCCATCCTGTCGATTGCATTGGCTCACTCTGTCTCATCCACTTTGAGTGCAATATAGAACACAAATACAACAAACAGATTAAATAATGGTAATAATTGCGTGCCACAGCCAGGACCATGGGTTTCCAAGGCAAGGAATGAGCAGAGGCACTTTGCCATTGGCTTTCTCTGCGCGGTAACCCCAGTCTTTCTTGGTGGTCTCTCATCCAAGTATTAACCATGGCTGACCCGGCGTAGCTTCCAAGCTCTGATGAGATCGGGCTAGCCTGGGCTCTTAGACTCCTAGCCAGGAATGACACAACAGTGCTAACAGTATTGGAAGTAGGGATGGGCACGAACTGGCTCACAAACGAAAGTTCGTGATGAATTTTGCCCGGTTTGTGGAGCCATCATGAATTTCCACTAATTTTAAAGCAGTTTGTGGCAGTTCACGAAGAGTAGAAAGCAGGGGTTTAAATGGCTTGGAACAAATAAAACCCCTGCTTTCCTCTCCCTACTGCTTTGTGCAACAAAACCCCTGCTTTCCTCTCCCTGTGAAAAGCACAGTGAACAGAAAATGGGTTTAAATGGCTGTTATACTTCCTTGACACAAGCAAGCCTGCCCTGGCAGCTGAATTATGAAACTTGCAGTGCAGCTGGAGGAGATCAGTGAAGCGGGCCAGTGTTCCCACTTTGCAGTAAACAAGAAAGGAAAGCGGTGCAGTTGAAATATCCAACAATTGGTAGCGACGGCGCATTGACAAGCGGGTGGGAGTCTCGAGTGCTCCGTCCCCGCTTGAACCTCTTTCTTCTCGTTCGAGCCTCCCATTTTCGACGGGAGAGCCCGACTAGCACCCTAGGAGTGGGAGCTGGAGTAGGGGGCGTCTTTCTGGCCCTCCCCCTGCAATTGGCAGGGCGGGGGAGGTGCCCAGAACAGCCCTGAAACCGAGACGACTGCAAGGAGGAACATGGCTGCCATGTTCCACGAGATGCAGCCAGCTGTTTTATTTTTATCTTAACTATATGGATAAGCAGTAGCAGTAACATGAAGAACTGAAGTAAAGTGAGTACGGCTACAAGTCTATTGTTGTTTTAAGAAAACCCTAGGGCATTTGCCCAGAACAGATGAGAGAAGCGGCCAAGGAAATTAACTACGGGCTGAATAGCGGATGGTTTTTTCTTTGATGGGGAGAGGAAAACATATGTGGGCAAGGACTAATATGTATTTAGTAGAAAAGCGATTTGTTTGAAGTGAATGGACTTTTTGGTGGAATAAATAAAAAGAAGTATCTGAGTAAAATGGCGTCTTTAAAGAGTAACTATGGGGAGGAGAAAGATGAAGACGCAGAAGGAGGAAAGTTTGCAGGGAAGCAGTTCTGGGAAACATTAGAGAAAAGGATTTGTGAAGGAATACGGAGAGGGATGGAGCAAGCGTTGGACAATATACTTGAAAAGCTATCGAGTCTACATTTGAGCATGCAAGGAAAAAGATTAAGATTTATGACTTAACAATCTTGTTACTATGGTTGTTTGTAAAGGGTGAATGGCATGTGATATGAATCTGTAAAGTATGGGATTATGAATTTGCTTAAAGGGAAGGTACAGTTCTTAGTAGGAAATACATAAATGAAATAATTGGAAGGTTCTTACTTGGGATATACTAGGAGAAACCTATAGATTTGTTTTGTGTTTTTTGCTGCTTAGGTATAAGTTAAGCGGTAGGTGGAAATAAAGACTAAAGGATGAAATGTACTCTATAACTATTTGTTTAACAGGGGAAATGGGAGTATAAGTTGTTAGCAAGAAATAGTTAAAGGAAGTGACTTAATGATTGCTTATGTGGAAGTAGTAGGAGGAAGAAATAATCCTGTTTTGTCTTGTTTTTGTATTTAAATATCTAAGAACATCAATAGTAAATGAATATAGTTGCTAGTAGGAAATAGTTAAATGATATAATTTGAAGGCTATTACCTTGGGATATACCAAAAGAAACTTCTAGGTATGTTTTGTGTCTTCTGTTTCTTTTTTGTGCATAAATCAAGTTCTAGGTGAAAGCAAATGACTATTCTATAGCTGCTTGTTTAAAAGGGAAAATGGGATTATAAATTGTTAGTAAGAAATAGTTAAATGTAGTAACTTGGTGATGGTCTTTGTGGGAGTAACAGGAGGAGGATATAATCCTGTTCTGTCTTTTTTTTGGGGGGGGTATGAAAGGGAAGTTGTGATGTGGGGAAGTAGAATAGGGCTTAGAGGTAGTAAATAAGTAAATTTTGTATGAAGTGAGTAATTAATTAGGATGTTTGTTGGAAAATATTAAAATACAGGACTGTTTGAATAAGCAAATAAGGGGTATAATGTTGGGGGGAAAATGTTTAGGCCAGATAAAGTTAAGGAAGGAAAATCTGAAGGTGTACTTAAAAAAAAGAAAAAAGAAAAAAGCAACAGATGTATTTGGTAGAGTAGACTAATATTTTGGTTTAAATGGGAAGAGGTAGATGTAAAGGCTTGCCTAACTAGAGAACCTAGATACTATTGCTGGCTTATGAATTATTATCAAGATATATGGATTAATTGGAAGAAATGAATTTATATGTAGTACCAACTTTCTGCTCCCTGTGAAAAGCAGCAGTGAACAGAAAATGGGCTTAAATGGCTGTTTCCTTGACACAAGCAAGCATGCACTGGCAGCTGAATTATGAAACTTGCAGTGCAGCTGGAGGAGATCAGTGAAGCGGGCCAGTATTCCCACTTTGCAGTAAACAAGAAAGGAAAGCAGTGCAGTTGAAATATCCAACAATTAATTTGTGTAGAAGATGGGTGTTTTCTTTGCAAACCTGGAGATAACAGCCTTTCAAAGTTTTTTTAAACTTCCCTTTTTGTTTCAGTACCAAATAAGACACCAATCACACCCCACTCTACATATCAACCTCCACCAGATATCTTCCTGGTATAGCAGCTGCAGGAAAAAAAGAGTCCTCAAATGGGTAAAAAGAACTTGTGCAGTTACCGTTTCAGGCACCTGAAAAGAGAAAAACAGAAAGAAATGCAACAATTAAGACCATCAGCAAATAAGGTGGTGAAGCCCAGAAGGGAACAGGAACTGTTCCTTTCCCTTCTTCCTGTTTCCATGTGACAATACGTATACATTCCTATTGTGTGTTTACACGCATACCCTGCTTCCCCAAGAGGCAGAAAGCGCAAGGCAGCCTTTGTAGGAAGTTTATGGTGTTTCTGAAACCGGTATTTTTATTCAGAAGAAAAACGTAGAACACAGATTTCAGGCGCCAACAACAGTGTTAAATCCAGAAGAGTAGCTGTAACCGATGGGATGTCCATTTTTACCTTGAAGATATCAAATCGAATGAACAGGGATTCCTTATTTTTCCTGCGCTGGGTCTTCTTCATCAGGGAGACGAGGAGGGTGCTCTCGGCTTCCTGACCTTGATTCCCCTTCTCAGCCTCGTCTGGTTCCGGCAGCGAAACATGGAACTGGGGATTCATCCAGATGGCGTCTACAGCATGGCAAGAATGAGGCCATCAAAACCACTCAGACGTTTGGACAAGTTTTGGAAGACTTGGAACAGAGGAATTCCTCTTCTCTTCCCTGCTCCGTCCCCTTCTGCGCAAAGATAGCTTAAAGTCACTGGGTGCTCTAGGATACTAAGGATTTGGGAGGACCCCTTTGAAGAAGAAGAAGAAGAGATTGGATTTATACCCCGCCCTTCACTCGGAGTCACAGAGCGGCTTACAAACTCCTTTCCCTTCCCACAACAGACACCCTGTGAGGCAGGTGGGGCTGAGAGAGCTCTGACAGAAACTGTTCTTTCAAGGACAGCTCTTGTCAGAACTATGTCTTGCCCAAGGTCACATCAGCAGGTGCAAGTGGAGGAGTGGGGAATCAAACCCAGTTCTCCCAGACTAGAGTCTGCAGCTCTTAACCACTATACCAAACCCCTCTCTTGAGATGGGACCGGAAAGAAGATGGGGAGAAATCATACTATGTAGATGTCCTGGATGGGAGTTCCGACATGTCATTGCATCATGCATAAAGGGTGTCTGTTGTGGGGAGGGGAAGGGAAAGGAGACTGTAAACCGCTCTGAAACTCTGAGTGAAGGGTGGGGTATAAATCCAATCTCTTCTTCTTCAAAAATCTTCTTATCCTACTGCGTATCTGCATGAATTTGGTCATGTTATCACTCCATGCCTCTTCCTCTCCTCCTTCTATTCTTCTCTCACTGTCAGACTTTAAATTGTAAACTCCCTGGGGCAGGGATCTATCTTCCCCCCCCCCAACTGCAAAGCTCCACATATGCACCCCTAGCCTCCACATATGCACCCCTAGCCTCAGCACCTGTACACTACACCAGTAGCCTTCAATCCAACCCGCAGCCTCTGAGACCAGCGATTACCAAAAGGGCAGGAGGTCATGCACCACCCGGTACTGTGTCCTTTGACCCAGCTCCCGTGGCAGATGCTGCTGTTCCATGAAAAGGGGACCACCTCCTCTCCTGGGGCGTTAGGGCTCAAATGGCAGATATCCAGGACATTGAAATACTTCGCAAAATCACCCAGATGCATCCTAGATAGAAAAAAGCAAAGCGGGAATTTAGGAAGTCTTACATGACTAAATGGCCACCAGTTGCCTCTGTGGCTATACCAGGGGGGGGCCACACGGTGCCTATGGATACCATAGCAACCACTGACATCTTTTCGGGTACCCACCATGTGTTTTTAGGAAACGAGTTGGGTTAGGTAGGGCTTTTGCCCAGCAAGACGTTTGATTGGCTGTGCAGATTTTAAAACGTGTGGCTTTGGCGGCAGCTGCCACCACAGCACAAGGGTCTCCACTGAGAGTGAAGGTAAGCTGCGGCAGCCATTTTGTGACTGGCTCAGCCTCCTGTGGCAGCCATGTTATGGCTGCACGTACCACACCATCTCAGAATTTCAAAGATGCCCACAGGCTCAAAAGAGTTCAGGGATCCATGACCTATATACCTCTGCTGGCAATATCTGACAACATCAAATACGCCTTACCAGAATTCCCCATCGTCCTTTGCCACACACAGCTTCTCCCGTTGCACAGAGTCCAACTTTAACCACAATTCTGAACTGCAGCCAGGAAAAAGAGAAAGAGAGAGAACAAGGAACACAAACCAATTTACTCTGGCCAAGACATTCTGGTGTCTGAAGCCGGAAATTTAAAAATTTCTGCTTTCTGGGCATGACATTGGAAGCAGTCATGGGCAAACCTAGACTGGTTCCACAGTACGTCCTCACCCCTCTGAAGCTCCGCAGAGAATTCTTTTTTAGTCCACAGACCACTTCCTCGGTAGGGGCCTTCTATGCGGCGTTTCCTTAGTTTATCATCACCCTTTGATCCGCGGCATTGTTTCTGCAGTCAAAACTTCCATCTTTCTCCCGGCATGTAGCGATGTTTCTCCCCACCCCCCCCAACCCCCCAACCCCCCCGAGTCTCATTCTGATTGGTCAAATTTCAACCGCGCATTTGCCCATTTAAATTTTAAATGCCTGTCCTGCACAGCGTGGCTCTTGCTTCCTGTCCTGACAATTGTTGACACTGGGTCTTCCAGTCTCATGGAGCGGATCGCCTTGCAGTTTGCACTGTTCCAAGTTGTGATTCTGTGTATACAGACCTCCCTTAATGCCTGCTCTGCCTACTACAATCGCTTGCGCCATAGAAGACGCTTTATCCACACTCTGGAGTATTCCATGGCACCCAAGCGTCTCTTTTCAACAAAGCAAAATGAGGCAAAATAAGCGTTTGAACAGATCTTTGGCAAGCAGACGCTCCATCTGAACTGGAATATGTTTTTTAAAAAAATCCAACTGCAAACAATACAGGAGTGATCTAAAATCAGGGAGGGGGAGGAGTCTGATGTCAGCCATGTTTTGAAATGTGATACTATGGAGGAATGCAGGCCGCTGAGCAGGCTATAATGTCCAAAATTGCGTTCAAACACAAGAAAATTTAAAAAAAACACCCATCAGAATCCCAACACAATAAATTACTACTACAATGCCACAGCACTATCTGCTACAGTAAACAGCAAAAAACCTCTTAGAATCGGAAACAATGAGCTAATTGACTGGAAATTGCTCTGAAAATACAAATATGGAGGAAAGGAGAGGGCAAACCTAGGACTGAAAAACACCAG